CCCTGTCGTGCAGCATCCCGAGACAGGTCCGTCACCACTTCGTCACTCCGGCTGGACGATCACTCGGTCCAGGTGCGACCAGCTGGCGTTCTGGTGCAGCGGCTTTAAAACTCCCGTGGTAGCCCCTGACGCGGGTACAGGCCAGCAAGCGGCAAAGCAAGAGCATGATGTCTGAGTGTCGAGGGCGCGGCGTTTGAATAAATTGTGAAAGAATTCCAAGCGAGAGCGCGATTCCTGCATAAAGTGTAATGAAATCACGCGCGGGAGCGCGATGTCTGAATAATTTGTGAAGGGGTCTAAAGCGGGAGCCGTTGTTGTTGTTGTTGTAGTTCGGGGGCCACGGGGCCCACTTTGATCCTCCATATGCTCCCTGCTTTTATATGTTTATATGTGTATGTGTGTATATATATATATATATATATATATATATATATGTATATATATATAAGTATACATATATATATAGACATGTGTAATGTAATATTAATTAAAATAATAGCAATACTATATATATGTTAGTTTTCTCAAACCCAAGAAAGAAAGGAAACAAACAATAATAGCCCCGGGAAGGGGGACTCCACGTGGAAAAATACCAAGTGCGCGGGAGGGGGATCAACAATCAATATTACTCAGCTTTGAGATTCCAGCACCAGAAACGACAACAACAACTACAACAACAACAGCAACAGCAACAGCAACAACAGCAACAGCAACAGTAGCAACAACAACAGCAAAAAACAGCAACACCAACGCCAACAACCGCAACAACAACAAAAACAGCAGCAGCAACAAGAACAACAACATCATCATCATCAACAACAACAACAGCAACAACAACAGCAACAACAACAAAACAACAACAAAACAACAACCAAACAGAAACACCACAACAATAACGACAATCAGGTTAAGACTGCTTGCTTCTATCTGCTCGCGTGCCACTCAACACATATATCCTGGACCCTCGACACCCGCACTCTTCGCCCTCGGCTGTAACCTTTGGGGATATTTGATTCTTACCTGCAACGCTTATTTCGCGCAGCCCCTGAGGCAAGGGAAAGACAGGACAAGGAGTCTGCGCGCCCGCTCCGGAAACCAGAGCGGTCCCCAGTGGGGCAGAAGTGCATCCAGCGGATGGGAGAAAAAAACGCATCTGGTGAAAACGCACGCAGGGAGGAAGGCAACTCACCCATCCAACGAACCCCTCCATCGCAGACGAGGTCGCCCGACGGATCTGCCGGCTGTTGTCTGGAACCACGTTATCCAGTTCAGTAGTCGTTTGCTATATCTGTTCTCTGTCGAAAAAGATGCGAGCGGCGAACACTTCTTTGCGGGTATCTCGTACTGCAACCCAGCTTCTGGTGGAATGTGGAACAGTAATCCTCGATCCTCTGGGTCGAGCGCTTGATGTCATCTATGTAGGATTCGTCCTCGCCCCTTGCCTTGCGTAGCATGCTACGTAGCATCTTCCTCCATGCAACTTGGAGTCTGTCTCTGGGGACGCAGCATCCAGTGTCCAACACTCGCAAGCGTAGAGCGAGACCGGGCTCACGACGCTGTCGAACAGGCGCAGGCGCCTCCGCAAAGGGTACGACCGGGAATGCAGAACGTTCTCAAGTTTGGCGAGTGCTCTCCACGCAGACGATAATCTATGTGTGAGCTCAGTTTCGTGGAAGTCGTGCAGAGAAAGCTGCATTCCCAAGTATCTCTCCGAATCCCTGGGTTTCAGGATCTCGACGCCCTCTCCAAATATGCTCACTGTCATACTTGAATGGCCCGTAGAATTTGTAAGAATCTCTGTTTTCCCAAAATGAATCACAAGTCCGTACCAGCAGGCCTCCTTCAAATCCCCGAGCATGTTCACAACGCCTGCCCTGCTACATGCCAGTAAAAGAACGTCGTCTGCACACCGTAGATTCGTCAGCGGGTCCTCCGCAAAATCAACGACGAAGCCATAATACGGCCCAGTTCTGCGCTGATTGAGGCCGCGCCATCTATTCTCCAATGCGCAAAAACATAATTCCATAACAGCGATGAATAATAATTCCGATACCCGATCGCCTTGTTTCACCCCCCGGGACAAGTCGAATCTCCCCGATTCTTCTCCTGCCACGACCGTGACCTTTTGGTGGCAACACAACTTCTGCAGCAGGGAAATAGAATTGGCGCCCACTTAAGTGCACACAGAACCTCCCATAGCGCAGAGTGTTCTCAGTGCTACACGCTTTCTCAAACTCCACGAGAGCCATCCACAACGATTGACTCCATCCTGCACCTCCTTCAGTGAGCAGCGTCAGCGTGAATAGATGGTCAACTGTCGCGTAGCCCTTCCTGTACACAGCCTGGTCCGGGCTTTGCGCGGAAATAATTGCTGGCTGAAGCCCGTCGCACAACAGCCGGGCGAACAACTTATACAGAATTGGCAATATGGCCATGGGCCTGTAACTGTTTGCAAATAGAAAGTCGTTTTCTTTTTTTTTTAAGGCCACGAGCCGCGTTCGCGTCCAGGTTTCCGGCAGCTCCGCGCCCTTCTGTACTATACATCGTTGAATGAACTGAGAAGCGCACTCCGAAAAGTAGCGTTCGATGCCTTCAGCATTTCTGCAGCCACCCCAGATTTGTCTCTACACTTCCCACATTTCATAATCTTCAGAGCCTGTTCTAATTCTTCGAATGTAAAAAGGCGGGATTCCTTCAAGAACAGGGTTGAAAGTGCTACTCGAGCTGCTTTTGCTGGCGTAGAGCTTCTCATAGAAGCAAGCGAACACCACTGACATACTGTTTCGATCTACGCGCTCAATGCCAGCATCGTCTTTGATCGCTGCGATGTGACGTTTCTTCGCGGGCCCTCCCACAGCAGCGAGTCCGGATATGCCTCGAAAATCTGTCAGACTTCGGCCAATGCGTGCCTCCCGGGTTTCTTTCAGCCTGCGGTGAATTACTTGTTTGATCTTCTTGTTTATCTCCAGCTGGCGTGTCTTCTTCCTTTCGGCGTTTAGGTCGGACCGTCTTCGCAGGCCTCGCCGCTCTGCACTCAGACGCTTCAGCTCCTTATCTGTGTCATTGGATGTATGCGCCTTGGCCGGTTCTGGAAAAACTTCCTCCTGTGTGCTGACCATGCACCTCTCCAGTTGATTCGTGTGTTCACAGTACTTCCTGTGGCGGCTGGTTCGGATGCGAACTTCGTGTCCAAGACTTCGCCATATCTCTTGGCATCAACTGCCGAACTCCAGTTGCTTCGCCGCTGCTGCACAACAAGTGTCTCTGGGGCGCGCACAAACATGCGTAGCTCGACTGGTCGATGGTCAGAGTATCCAGCCAATGGCACACCTTACAGCAAACCATCTCAGAAGCAGCCCGGGAGTTCAGTAACACGTACTCTAACTGTTTCTTTGAATACTTATTCGAGTAAGTCCACAGGCCATCCGCTTCCACAGGGTCAAAGGTGTTCGCCAAAACAAAACCGCGTAGAATGCAGAAGTGTATCACCCACTCCCCGTGCGTAGCGCGCTTCCTGCTAGGAGCTAGGATTCGGTCCGATAGTGTCTTGCTCCCCTTTCCCCCATACACGGGCCCACTTCTGCGTTGAAGTCTCCAGCAATCAAGCATCTGGGCGCCGTACAGCAGTCCGAATACAAAAGATTATCCAGAATCGAATACACAGCTTCGACATAACAGTCGTCCAGCTTCGAATGCGGCGTGCAAGCGCCAAAAACTCGGGTAAACACATCGCTTACGACCATATCCAGAACTGCAACTCGATCGCAAACTGCCCGGAAAGACTTGTAACGCCATCTTTTGTTTAACAATATGCCGATCCCGTTTTTGCCATTGCTTCCGCCGCTCCCGGACCATGTGTGGCCGCCCTCTATGGTGAACACATATCTGGCGTCTTCGGGCCACGTCCCTTTGAAAAGAATGACATCCCAACTTATGCTCTTAAGCTCGCAAAACAAAGCCTCAAGCCTTTCTTCGAACATTATGAAACAATGGACGTTGTAAGTTATTATTGTAAGTGGGACGCTGCTGGAAATCGAAGACCTTATTGATGATGCTTTCCTTGTACGGGTACTTTGGGGCGCGCTGCATGCTCGCCCCTCCTCCTGGGACCCTGTGGCCCTCTCTCGCTTTTGCTTCCATGACGAGATGGCAAGGGAAGAGAGGAAGGATGGAAGGAAGGACAAGGGGGAGGGAGGAGGATGGAGCACAGGCTAGGAGCAGAAAACACGTGGCAGAACCGGACGGGCAGATCGGGCGGGTACACCCTACCAGGCGGGTCGGGAAGGAGGGCCCAGGCGGCCAGGGTTGCTCAAGCTTGCGTCCTGCATGAATCGCGAGGCAGTCTCGAGCGACAGCTCGATTCCCAAATCAATCGTGCGGAAATCCACAGTGACAGCGTGACTCCTGAATGTCGACGGCGCGGGGTCTGAATAAATTGCGAGGAAGTCCCACGCGAGAGCGCGATTCCTGAATACATTGTGAGGAAGCCCCGCGCGAGAGCGCAATTCCTGAATACATTGTGAAGAAGTATCGGGCGGGAGCCGTTATTGTTGTACTTCGGGGGGCCAACAATGCAGTTTGACCCGATGATGAAGTGAGGATTATAACCATGATGATGACGACGGTGAAGATAGTGATGATGAATATCATTATGATGGTGATGGTGATGATGATGACTATGATGATGATGATGATGATGATGATGATGATGATGATGATGATGATGATGATGATGATGATGATGATGATGATGATGATGATGATGGGGATGATGCTGATGATGATGATGACGACGATGGTGATGATGATGATGATGATGATGATGATGATGATGATGATGATGATGATGATGGAGAAGATGGTGATAATGAGAATGATAATGATGATGGTAATGATAATAATGACAACAATATGAATGATAATGATACTAATGAAAAATAGCAACAACAACAACAATAACAACCTTAATGATATGAATAATAATGATAGAGATGATGATGATGTCCGCGATGCACGCTGGCGTCAAGCCTAGCAGCGCAGCCTGAAAATCTCGACCGGTGCAAACCCAAAATAGTATGAGGAAACGTACGCAATGTTTGTGTCAACACTGCCAGTCGCCCCAGTCCGGCCTAATCTAATACCTACTCCGACTCGTCCTTACTAATTGGAACGCGTGCTATGGCATAGACGAGGGAGTAAACTGGAAGCAACAAAGACTACAGGAGTAAACTGTCTCTACGTGCCCGAGCTGGAAGTCTGCCCGTTCAGTCCAGTGCTCGGCGAGCCATCTGACTCTGCACATACAGGAGGATTCTTGGAGGCCTGCGAGATTTCCTACACATTCAGGAAGCGCTCTGGTCGGCCCAGCTTTGCAACTGACTCGTTGGTCAGCTCCACTCCATTTTCGGCCTCATCGACCCGCCGCGAGGCTGGGCAGTTCGCCAGGGCCGCAGGCAGAGGGATGGCCTCGACCACGGGCCCGGCCTCGTCCCCGGGATGGGCCAGAAGCAGATGACGTCCATCGTGGCACATCGTGGTCTGCAGAGTGCTGTTCACGCGCCAGGAGCCGATCTTCCTTCCGCCGTGCAGGTCCCAGCCGTCCAGCATGCCCTTGCGCAGCACCGTGAGCGTCTGGCAGGCCCCCTGCACGCTGAGCTGCATCGCCTGCACATCGCCGTAGTCGCCGGGCTCGCTCTCGTTGCACGCGGCGCCGTCGGCACCAGCGAGCTCCGCGCCACCCGAAGCACGGCAAGAGAGCTCGCCCGAGCCAGGGCGCACCGCGAAGCGAGGCTCGATAGTCCAGGCGCCGCCAGATGAGCCCCGCCGCAAGTCCGCGACGACGATCCTCGTGCCGTCCCAGCCTGCCAGCAGCGCGGCATCGCACCGTGGGTCACCGCATGGAAGCCAGGCGCCGGTGGCCATGCGCCACGCCTGCGGTACCTCAATGGGTTGGTTGAAATCGCCATCGGAGTACGAATAACCCATAGACTCCAGCTGCCAAGAAGACGAACCCTCAAAATTCAGACCACCCGGATAAGCCACCAGAGCGTCGCAGCTGCCACTCTCCCTGCACATTACAGAGTGGGCAGCAAGTCCGTGAGATTCGACAAGAGGTCCAAGTTCAACATCGTCCGCAAGACGCTGCGCTGAGTGAAGAGCCCACGGGCTGCTGAAGCTGACGTGCGAGCTGTTGCAGTGCAGGGCTGTCACTTCGAAAAAGCTGGCGGGCTCCAGCCAAGCAGCTGTGAGTCGCCGAGCGTGCCCTTCCATTTCCAGCTCCATTTCCTTATGCTCCTCCTCTATGTCCTCCTCGTACTCTTCCAGGTTCGGCCAGAGGGTGTGCACGAAATGGACAATGCCACCCACCAGCCACATCCATATCACCGTGAGTGTGAAGCGATTCACCACCTGCCACGGCACCTTCTCTGCGGAGTGCGAGGTGTGCTTCGCTCCGCCGGGCTGCCAGGTGGAATACGTCCGGAGGGGCCGCATGCTCTCGGGGCTGTCCTCGTCCGACCCCGAGCCGCCCCGCCTGCGGCCTCCGCCCGCACTCGCCGCGGCGGCCGCCGTGTTCAGCCGATCGTCCTGTATGTCCTTGGTGAAAATGTCCAGATATCCCACGGTGCGGAGCCTCTGCGGTAGCAGGTCCCCCTGATTGGGTGTGATAGTCTTCAGCACGAGGAAGAGCCACATGGCGTGCAGGAAGAAGCACGGCGTCACGCTCACGCTGAGCAGCGTCACGTGCATCGTGAAGCGGTTGGCCCACAGCGCCAGAGTGGTCCACAGAGGAGCCAGCGTGAAGGTCGAAAGGGTCAGGAGGAGGTCCCGGTAGCTGGCAACGCTCACGTCCTTGCTGCCCACATTCAAGAAGCTCTTACTGGCGTTGCTATCATCGCTGTCGTCGGTGTCATCGGGATCGGCCTGAGGGTTGCGGTTCGGATCGGCCTCGGTGTTGCGAAGGTCGAGCTTCAGCAGGAGGAGCGCAATGGCCTGCACCGCGCACAGGCTGATCAGGGCCGCACTGGGCCTCTTGCGCTGCACCGGCCCGACGATGAAATAGGACAGGGCCTGCAACATCTGGTTGATGCCGAGAGCCATGCAGACGCGCGAGTAGGCGTCGAAGCGAAGCCAGCAGCGGTGGCTCTGGGCAAAGTTGTGCCGGTGCTCCATGGTGTCCAGGGCGTTGTCAAGAGCGAGGGGCAGTTTTCCAGGCCCAGCCTTCAGCGCCAGACCCTGGCCCTGGATGTGCGACGTCTCCGTGTGCGGCCTGATGATGTCCAACGCCGCAGACTCCTCGGGGAGGCCGGGCAGCGTCGCCGCGGAGGCGGAGACGGACCCAGCGCGATACCTCTGCCCCACCCGCTGGGCGCCGCCCGGCTGAGCCGCGTCTGTGAACATGTGGTAGATGTTGCGGAAAAGTGATGTTGACTGCCGCATCGACTTCAAGTTTTCTGGGCTGGGGATTGTCAGCCGGCTGGAGTCGAGCAAGAACTCCACACCGATGGCGTGGGCGGCGACCGAGGCGTGGAGAGAGAGCCAGACCGCAAAGAGGAGGTAGCCGATGGCGCAAATGTTGCTCAGGAGGAAGATCTCGAGGATGAAGCAAGGCTCCTCCATGTACTCCTCCTCGAGGAGCTTGAATTCGCCGTAGAACGCGATGCAGAACTCCAACAGCAGAGCCCCCACAAGGTGGTACATGTCCATGCGACTGACGATGAGCTCCACCAGATCACGAACGTCCTCCCGCTTAAGCTTCTGAGCCTCAATAGCGAATTCGTAGCTTTTCATGAAGCGGTCAAACTCCTTCTCGGCAAAGACCACGGGAGACTCTCCGGCGACGTGCGAGATGGTGTCCGCGGCCAGGGTCCCGAGCCATCCGAGCACCATGACTGCAGGCGCAACTTGGCTCTAAGCCGCACCTGCCACGATCCTGGAGACGTGGGCAAACCTGCGGGTGCGGCCTGCGCCCCAGACGGCACCTATGCGCAGGTCATCTGCGCGGCAGGTTGCTGCCAGCTCGATCCGAACCCACAACAGCTTGAGCCAAGATGGCAGCGGCTGCTGATGATGATGATGATGATGATAATAACAATGGTGATGATGACGATGATGATGATGATGATGATGATGATGGTGATGATGATGATCATGATGATGATGAGCATGATGATTATGATTATGATGATGACGGTGATGATTATGATGATGATGAAGATGATGATGATGATGATGATGATGATGATGATGATGATGATGATGATGATGATGATGATGATGATGATGATGATGATGATGATGATGATAATGATAAGGATGATGATGATGATGATGATGATGATGATGATGATGATGATGCTGATGATGATGACGACGACAGAGATGTTGATGTTGATGATGATGATGATGATGATGCTGCTGATGATGATGCTGATGCTGCTGCTGCTGCTGCTGCTGCTGCTGCTGCTGCTGCTGCTGATGATGATGATGATGATGATGATGATGATGATGATGATGATGATGCTGATGAGGATGACCGATGGTCGTGATTGTATGATAGTGGTGACGATGAGGCTGCGTTGATGACGATGATGGTGATGAGAGTGCCGGAACATGGTGAGGGGAGGGGAGAGGGGGTGTGAGAGGATGTGTGTGAGGACTGCGCGGGGGGGTGGGGGGGCAGAGAAAACAAGAACCCCACTTTGGACGTGGGGGGAAAACATGAGCTTTCGGAGGTCCGCACGGATTTCTTGGGTCTGCGTAGGACCCCCTCGGCGGCGCCTCAGGCGCCGCCCCTGGCGCACGAAGTGTGCCAGGAGAGGGCGTCCAGCACCGACCACGATATCGGCGCGGACCTCTGAAAGTTTATGCACATGTCGTTCTTCCCCTTCTGGGATGATGAGGCAAGGCCGCCACCAGGATCGAGGATCGAGCATCGAGCATGGAGGAGATCGAGGATCGATTTGGCTCAAGCTCTGAGGATCTCACAGTGCCCAAGTCCTGCTCTTCAAGGGAGTGCCTGGCAGCAGTTCTGGCAGGACGGAGAGCTAATACCCGAGCCTGACATCCGGCGACTCTGAAAAATCGAGGCGGCTGATCTGATTTGAGAGGTCCAGGGGGCCCACGCATCGAACAAACATCGAAGCGCCAGCTGTCCGAGGATCGGGGAGGCAAGGCCGCCGGGTGGGGGAGGTCGAAGACCCAGACCCGCGACGTCGTGCTGTTTTCCAGGGCGTGGACTCTCACAGGTCTCGGCCCCCTCTCCTGGGCAGGCTTCCTCTACCAAGCCGTTTGGTTGACGCTCTCCGGGCTCCGTGAGGGCCGCCGGGGGCCGAGAAAGGTCAAAACTGTCCGTCGTAACCTTGGTCACGACGCGAGGGGTCAGGGGAGATCGTCCCCCACTCTCGGCCTCCCAAGGGCCCGCTTCGGGCCCCAAGACCCTCAGAGATCGATCGGGGATGAAAAACGGGATGCGCCCAGGGAGGGGTGCGGGGTCCCGGGATCGGTTTTGAGCGGATTTCGAGGGCGGGGAGGGATCGAGGTTCCAGGACCCCCAAGGTTTTTGGACGCGTCTGGCTTTTGAGTGGGCCTCCGAGGGCTGGGTGGCCCCTGGGGATCTCCAGAAACGGAGACCTCTGGAGACCCAGACGGCGGGGGGGGGGACTTGCCGTTTGGGGACTGCCTCACTCACCTGTAGACTTGTTCGGACGCGGCGATGTTGATACCTGTGCCTCACAGTTGAGACTGGGAGTAGCTCGTCGACGTCTTGCGCATAGCACGGCCGTCGCGCTACCTGTCCTCATCCACAGAGAAAGAGCAAGCAAGGGACTACCCTGCTGGGTGCGGGGCGAGAAAATACCGAATGAAAGCACGAGGCCAGAACACGAAACAGTGGCGTCAGCAGGTACCAGTGCGCGGGGGGGGGGGGGGGGAAAGGTGGGGGGGCCCCGCGGGAAGGAGGGGGGGTGTCAGCGCCGGGGGCGGAGGAGGAGGGAAGCGAACGGGGGGAGGCGTCGAGGACGCGGAGAGAAATGGTCGCAGCGAGGCTCTGCGCCTGCCTGCCTGCCTGCCTGCCCTGGCATCGAGCGCGATGGGCGAGGGCGACTGGAGCGGGGCCTTCCGTCCATGGAGGGAGGCGGAGGCGTGCGGGGACGCTGCGGTGATTTGTATTGCGGGCGGTCTGCACCTGGAGGTGCCACGGATCAGCGTCGCCTGGAGGGGTCCTGTCGCCGGCCAAAAAACACATCCTGATACTGAGCAACAAGTCCGTGGTAGGACTTCATCGGTACAGAACCTGAAGACTTCACGCTCGCTTCCATGGCCTGGGAAGTCTCGTCCAGTGAGCTTTCCCGATTCAGAAGGCCCCGAGCTACCAAATGCTCTCTCACGTTCCTGTCGCTAGGAGGTAACTGCCACCTCCCGCCACACGAGCTTGACAGACAGGCCAGCCTGATCTTGCTGAGCTTGTCCAGCACCGAATCAGCCTCGCCAATGACGACCCCAAGCCTCTGCAGCTCTCGGTGATTTCTTTCACCACGAAGGAAGGTTTCCACGGCTTCGTCCTTCAATTGGTTCCGGTAATCGTCGAGGTAACCCATTCGTTTGAAAATCTGCTCGACCAGATCAGGCGAATCCTTCAGGAGGAACGGCCCGCCTCCCCTTGCAAGTTGTGCGCTCTTGGGGTCACCATATTCCTCGACCATGCTCCATGTGACCTGTCTGCTGGCCACTGGAAAAACAAAGGCGAGATCCTGGCTCCCAGAAACGCGAGTGACCTGAGCTCTCTCGCGAAACTCTCGAGCCAGCAGCGTAATTGCACGCGAAGGGGGGTGAACGACCAATCCGCTGGCTCCCGCCTGTCGGGTGCGCTACGGTGCATCCGCCAGCATCCCTACATGGGACGAGCACGATCCCCCCTGTGTACCTGGCGTCCCCCGAGCCCTCCGTGAGCCTCTTCAAGAAGAAGGAGCAGGAGCAGGAGCAGCAGGAGAGAAGAGACAGGAAAGGGGAGAGACGAGGGAGGCAAGCCAGGTGCGCTCGCGCCACATCTGACATCCAATCCCTCCCTCCCGTCCCTTTCCTTTGCGCTGATTTGTCTCTGTCCGCGGACGCGTGTCACAGCGACCTGGAACTCCATTACCCCACCAACTCACGCTAATAGCAGCAAAGGTGACCTCGGGACATGTGGGACGTATGCGAACTGTGGAACCTGTGGAAGATGTGGGACTTCTGTGGACCTGTGATACAGCGGGACCTCTGGGACCTGTGCGACCTGCGGGACCTCTGTGACATGTGGGGCCTGCGACACCTGTGGGACACATGGGACCTGGAGGAAGTGAGGGTCTTCTGTGACCTGCGAGACGTGTGGGACCTGTGAAACCAGCGGGACCTGCGTGGGACCTGGGGGACCTCCGTGGGACTCGTGAGACCTGCGACAACTGTGGGGCCTGTGGGACCTGTAGGACCTATCGAACTTGTGGGACCTGTGGGACCTGCGAGACCTGCGACACTTGTGAACCTGTCAGACCTGTGACACTTTTGGGACCTGTGGTACCTGTGGGACGACCTGAGACACCTGTGAGTTAGACGGGACATGCGGGACCTGTGGGGCCAGCAAGACCTACCCGACCTGTTGGACCTGCGAGGCCTGCGGGATAGAAAAGTAGCCCACGGTGAGGCGAGAGTGCCTGTCTGAACGACGGGAGCAGAGCGAAGATCCGAAAATGAGGCCCACGCTGCAGCGAGAGTACCATTTAAACAAACAAAAATATAAAAAAGGGCATGGGACGTATCAAATGTTAAAATCTTGAATGAAACCACCATATGCGGAGGGGGCGAGACCACGCCCGGACAACTTCAGGGGAGAGAGGAGCGTAGTGTTATTCAAATTGAGCACTCGTAACAAGGAAAAGGGCAATTAGAGGCGCTCGCGCCACCTCTGACATCCTACACCTCACGTACATCCCCTCTCAATGCGTTGAATCTCCATCCTCAATCCACCGAGTCGGGTGTCATAGAAGACCTTGATTCCCGAATGTCAGTCGCATAGCTTGATCCCTTGCTTGCCGTACAATCGGCAAATTGGGACCACTAACACACTGAATGAAGAACAGCAGCAGCAGAGTGAGGCAGTGAAAGGCGGAGGAGACAGCCGAGGAGCAGCAACGACGAGGAAGGGCTCGGATCCAGAAGCACGGCCCACGCTGAGGCGAGAGCGCCATTCCGAACGGCGGGAGCAACGCACCGATCCTCAAACGTGGCCAACGCTGCAGCAGCAAGACCGATTTGAAGGATCGAAGACACTCCAATTGAAAGCCCGTGCAAAAAGAGAAACCACGCGGGAATGGCGGGAGCCCTTGCGCTCCTCACACTGTCAGGGAAGAGGAGAGTGGCAGTAGTGATTTAAAAATGATGTACGCTTGTGAGGAGGAAAGAGGCAGGCTAGGTGCGCTCGCGCCGCATCCGACATCCAACCCCCTGCCCCCTCCCCCCCTTTCTCGTTGCACGGAGTCCTGCCTTGTCCGCTGAGCGGAGCGGCGCCACGCCCACTGGGCCGCGCCCCAGGTCCACGGCAGGCCTGGCCCGCTAAACCCGATCGGAGGGCGCTGACCGTACACCTGCACCAGTCCTGGCCAGGCCCATCCTGGGCCCGAGATCGGTGGTTACACCCCCCCTGGATGGCGGATATACGGATCTTTGGCTCTGGATGGACCTGGCCAAGATCGGTGTGCATTGTCGGCGTCCCCCTGCCCGAGGAGCGAGCAGGAGCTCACCGTGCCCGGACCTCCCTGGCCACTCGACTGAATCGCATGTTCTGTGTTCCGCCATATTCGGCGTCCGAAGGCCGTTTCTGAGCCTTGGGGTCGCCAAAAACGGCTCGGGACGAGAAGCTGGTCCCAGGGAAGGGGGTCGAAAGGCCCAAGGGGCCGGCGGCTAGAACAGGAACGAGCCCTCGGAGGCCTGGGCACGCGACAGGCTCAGGCAAGGAAGTGGTGCGGGCCTTCTGGGCAGCCACAGGCGTGAAGCCTACCCCTGCAGGCCAGGTTCCTGAAGCAGCGGCGGG